CCCAATGACCAAACCTCGAGACAAAAGACAATAGTCATGCGTCTCTTCGTTGTTTTTCTTTTTCTGTTCCAGCCGTTTTATTGTATTTTATTTACTATTATATAATAAAAGGCCTTGTCTCCAAAAAAAAATTCTTTTTCATCTGACTTGAAATATTCAGCTTCAAGTTCATGTTGACGGTAGCGAAGTTTGTTAATAATTGCTTGAACTTTATTCAAAATCTCTGAAACACGTTGCATTTTAGGAAAACAATCCTTCATTAGCAAATTATGGATTCCATGAGCAATGCAAAATACATGAACGACATTTAACAGTTTCCCTGCTTTTCGCATGTTCGAACCTTTATCTGATACCTAATTAAATTAGAAAATATATCTGAAATGTCTGAATGACAAATATACTTACTATAATCACATCATTTTGATTTATATCATAGCCGGATAGAACTGTTGATATAAGATCTTTTATCTTTTCTCCCGTGTGAGCGTCATCAAAAGGTTGAGTTTTCAAACTATATCTATGTAATTTTAAGTTCGAGTCCAAAAAATGTATTGTAATGCAAAAATAAGATCGATGCTGATATTCGTCGCACCACGCATCACATGTAATAGTAGGAAATCTTGTGGACAATTTAACTTGTTCTTTTGTTTTATCAACACATAAATTATACATCTTGTTCAGCTTCACAGGTGCTAAAATAGTTCGTGATGGAATTTCAGATTTGCTATTGACCACTTTGTTGGCAATTAAAAAATCTTGAAAACCTAATCAGAAACAATATTCATAGTTAAAGAAAACTTACTAATCTTTCTATCTTCATTTTCAACATTTGAAAAGGGAAGAAGATCTCTGCAACACATTAAAGTTAATTGATGCCCAAGTTGATCTTTAGTTGTAAATTTTTTGTTGCGTCTCGATCCCGATGCCGAGAAAACATTGTGAGAACATGTTTTTCCGTCACTTTCATTGCTTGAACTTCTTGTATTTGATGAGCAGCTAATAAATGGGTTTTCATATTTCCCGTACTACTTGTTGTACCATAATTAGCTACTTTGCTTCGAATAGAAGAACAATTGTCATCCGGACGTTCTTCTTTTATTTTATCAAAACACACTTTACAATAAAGTCGTTTCAAATCTAATGCGGTATTTGGCTTTTTATATAATTGCTCAAAGTAACTCCACACAAATGAGGGCCTTGAAACATTCGGTATCGTTATGTTAATACGAAGAGTTTTATTCAAATGATTAATTTCGTTTTTGACGTGTGACATTGATATTCCAATAAAAAAAATACAAATATGGTGATGAAAAACCAAGAATTAGCGCTTGTACTAAAACATGATGGTTAAAACTGAAAAAGGATAAATGAATGTTAGAAAATAAATTATTTAAATAATGATACATACCACAATAACAATGAAGAATAGATAAATCAACAGTTCTATCAATAAATGGAAATTATCGCTAAAAAATATTAGATGAATATTAAGAAAAAAATAAAACACTTAAGTTACTATGATGACAAGAAGAAATTGAGAACCCAACGATGTTATTAATGACTTAATTTATGTTTGTACAATAAAAATTGGAGTATCTTTTCTTAAACAAATGCTTCCTTTGTTTCTTACTTGTAAATATATATAAGTATAGAGAATGTATATGATCGGTTAGAAAATCAGAGATTGAAGCGTGAAGAAAAATTTGATGTTCAACATTTGTAGATGTCATTGGCGGCGGCGGCTCGTACATTAAAAATTTTTATTCATCACGGCAGCGCGGCGGCTAGGTCTATTTCCTCATGGCGGCGGCGGCGGCTGCAAATTTTGAGAATTAAATTAAATTTCGTGTCGGCGGCGGCGGCTCAGCCGTACGGCTTACACCTCTAGTCGTATAGTGAAAACAGCAAAGCATATAAATTCAGAGATTCCTTTTGGTGGCGTAAATGTGATTTTTTTTGGGACTATCTGCAATATTCTCCAGTGTTGGATAGACCTCTCTATCATAGCTGTACATCGTTTGAACAAATCACGGAACGTCAAATAAATATGCAATGTGCAGAGAAACTTATATCTCAAATGAATTGTGTTATTGAATTGAGTCAACAAATGCGAACTGAAGACCTGCGATATTTGGAGCTTTAAACAGATTGAGAAGCAGACAATCAACAATTGAAGATTATCAACCTCTTTGTACACGTATCATTGGAAACCCAAAGCTACAAGCATCTGTGCGACAGGTGCCATGGAATGAAGTAAGTTTGCTCAGTATTTTTTTCTATATGTAATCATGCATTCTTTAGAAGGCTCCAATACTAGTTTTTCGAAACACACTTCGTACTCAAATTAACAATCGAGCTGTGTTAAATAAAGCAATAGAAATGGGATTTCGACCAATGGTGTGTGTTGCATAAGATCATTTTCAAAGAAAGATTATAAACGACTTACGGTTACGCAAAACGATTCTTGAATTATCTGACAAGAAAACAGAGCATCTTCCAGGCTATTTACCACTAGATGTGGTACTTTATATTTACTTTACTAGTAAATAGGTAAATAGACTATTTACTAGTTACTTTTTTAAAGTAAATAAACTATTTATTATTTGCTTCTGCAAAGTAAATAAACTATTTATTATTTACTTCTGCAAAGTAAATAAACTAATTACTACGTAATTTTAGAAAGAAAATAAATTATTTTTATATGAGAATAATAACGAAGCTCCATCCCAGAAGTGATTTTCACATCTAAAGTCATCTGATTATTCCATAACGCAGTGTTTTTTTTAAGCTATCAAAAACAACTTTTATTTTTTTTTCTTGTTTTCAATCGCCACTTCAGAATCACAGTAGATAGTAGATAGTATGTTGATCTATTTTTCTGGTTCGTGTTAGTTTTTTTACTAGTCTAGTTTTTTATAGTTTTCGAACTTCATTTGGAATTAGCTCCTATAAATGATCAGTATCTCCTAGTTGTTCGTTTGATCTGATGATCAATATGAGCTAAGGTTTTTTCCTAAATTTTCTGGTATTAGTTTCAATTTCACAATCTTTATTTTATCGCAAGCAAAGTCATCATTAAGAGTAGGAAAAACTACACAAAACCGGCAGTACGATATTAGATATAGCAAAAAGATATCATAGTAAAATTTTTCAACAAAAATACATAATTTCATACAGTATCAAACGACAGAATAGAACATATGTATAACAATCAACAAGAAAAACGAGAAATACTTACATATATAATAAGTTTAACAAAATGACACGAAAAACATAGTTATTGCCAAGAA